TCCTGGTTGTCCATCCTTGCCGTCAGGTCCTGGTTGACCGTCTGGACCAGGTGGACCCTGTTGACATGTACAGCATTGAGCTTCAGCCTGACGAGGGGTACGGAGAAGAATGTCTAGAGGGTCCTCTCCACCTTCTGGAGCGACTTCCACCATTTCACGCCACATGTCTCTTGAACGAGATTTGCAGTACTCGACTTCTCCCTGAAAAAGGTTACTGGCTCCATTCCATAGAATTTTCTATAAAAATTGAATATTTACCTGAACAGTTGCTTGGAGCGTTTGTACATAGTGGAATACTAATGGGAAGGTGATCAGGCAAGCGGAAACGGCTACCGTTGAGAAAACAACAGCAGCGAACGCCACCCCCCTGAGAGAGTCCTTCTTCTCCTCCATTTCTGAAACAGTTGAAGTAAATTCCATGGAAAATGTGTTTGATGAGTACGTGGAGGCAAAGAAGGCAAACTACAGCGCGAGTGAGGACTTGAGAACGTATTTCCTAGAAGAAAGTCCATTAAGAGACTCTACACGCGCTTTGAGGAACACTCTGAAAGGGAAATCTATCGATGGGCTAAGAGGGCCCAAACCGGTTCCGTCACGTACAATCCTCTAAGCTCCTGCCGTCTTTACAAAAACTAGACACTACAGAAGAAGCGCTTAACGACTTTTTAACGACTCTTCCTTGTGTGGAGGATTCTCTGCGTCTCTTAGGCACATTCCTTTAAAGGATAGGGCCCAAAGTGGTGAGACTGCCAATATGACCCAGCAAAAATTTGATGTGCTGAAGTTAGAGCCTTGGTAGAAACCCCATCTGTAAAAAGCTGTCTCACTGGACACTTGGGAAAAGGAGCCATAGCAGCCTCTCAAACCAAATATCTCTAAGAATGGGCCGAGGGCAAATAGCGGCCAGTGGCTGCCCTGATCTCGCTCATAGTTCGGGAGGCAAACCCTGGATCGGCTCCCGTTCGCACCAACCAAGCCTTCCATCGCTCCGGGATGGTCGTCTACCTGACCAGTTCATCTGGCGGCAAAAGCACTGGTTTTTCGGTCGGCTGGCTTCCGGAACGTATTGTGAAGGCCACATCAAAGAATATCGCCACAATTCCAATAGAGGTAGAATGCGCGGTGTATCTCGAACAGCGAGGGTTTTACCTTCAACCCCTCTGAAGTGATGGAAATCCGATAAATACGGTAGTTGAAAATTGATCTCGAGTGAACCGACCCTTCGGCATGTAGCCCAGGGTTATTTGCTTCAATAGGCAAAGCCCCAGAATGGGTATCTATGACCACAGACTGTAGAGCAAAGTAAAGATAAACTTTTGCTATAAGCGATAAGGGTAATACTAGGATATACGGGCCAGGAACAAGGCCTGTAACCCCTCCTTCCCCCGGATGGCTCGCCCAAGCCGATAGCTTAAAGGATAAGCCAGCTAGCTCTAGCTTAGGGAGCGTCTTGGAGTGTTCTCCGAACAGCCACACTGTCCTTTATCACCTAGAACAATATGATACTTTGAGAGATTTGGCCCTAGAGGCTCAACACGCTTGCCTAATGGTAAAAGTAATCACATAAATAATTTCAAAATTTTCATATCGGAGCTTATAACCTTGGAGGGGCATTCGAAGGACACCTCGGTCAAAACTGGAATCACTGTAGTGAAGGTGAGGGCTTTTGCCTAAGTGTAGGGAGGTGGAAGTGTGGATGTTCGAACCAGTTTTGAGTATGGAAATTCTACTTGAATGGCGGTAATCTCGTTTGGCACAAGGGATCCCTTAAATGCCCCCCCCCCTACAAAGTAATCGCCTTAAATGTCTCCTCCAAAGTCGTTAAGGCCCATTTTGCGCCAGGAAAAAAAGTTCTGCAAGTTAACATTGTTGATAAAAAGTAAAAACGGCTGGCAAGAGGCAAGTAGAATCAGGTTGTGAGTCAGTAGAGAGAGGGCAGAGGTGACGTTAGTCCCAATGAGAAAGACTGGATAGGGAAGCTGGGCTGGCGGCAACGTTTAGACAGGCGCCGAGGGGACTAGCTTATATGCGGTTGTGGAGGTGGAACGAAACACCATCGCGTACGCGCGCCCCAAAGAAACAACATCATCGTCGATCGTACTGTGTAAGACGAATGGAATGTTGGACATTCTGAAGGCAGAGTTTAACCCCTGGGACTACTTATGCAGGGAACGTCATGTGCTATCCCCCCCCCCCCTCCCTCCATCTTTCGCTCGAATGCAGTTTTTTGGATATGACTGTAAAATTTTCATGAAATTTCCGGGAAACCTTTAACAGTTTGGGAAAGACGGTAATATGGCAAGAAGGTTAGGGGGGATCGTATCCTGCAAAATTTTCCCTAGCGACAGGACGCGCCTTGACTCTAAAATTGCAAATTTGACCATGGACTGAATTGGCCTTTCTCTGCTCAAAGCAAATGCAACCAGCTGACGAGCAGGCAGACTGGGGATCTTTTCATGGAATCTGCACAAGTTTGCACTTTAGTGCGTGCTTGATAAAATCTGTGTTTCTGAAAGACTTCACTTAGCCGCTAGATACCATTTGATTTTTGACGCAGCATCTAATGCCGTTTTAGGTCGGTGTTCGGAAGGTTTATTATACCATTGGTCACTTTGAATCATACCTTTTCTAACCAACTGCACCACTTCATTCAACTCAAACTTCACCGAATCTTTTAGCAGCGGCGGAGGGGCAGTTCACAAGCACATCACCCCACCATGAAACAGGACTGCAAGCTCTGCCCCGACGACACGCGCCTCTTTTCAGCCGCGAACGGCGATCTTCAATCACCAATCGGACAACGCCAGTATTGGCTGAGCTGCCGCCTCTATTTTTTAAAGAAGCGTTGTTGTGAACTTCGAAAATTTGCATAATTCTTTTTCAACCGTTTTAGGTGTCACACGTCCTTCTTTTGGCACATGCGGAAGACACCCGTTACGCGCTGCGCCATTTATGCACTGTCGGCTTAGGCGCCCCTTGGCCATGCCCACTTGCTTTTCGCGGAATTTTGACATTTTTTCAAAATTTGTGCATTTTTATACTGCTCCATGGATCCCCGCCTACTGCGAAAGGCTCCGCCCCCTCCGAAGGAGCCCCGCCCACTTTTCAAAAATGGTGCAATTCGGCAGTATAGAGTCTCGGCTTACATGGCTAGGGTATTGCTGGTCATTCGAAACAAACTTTGCCTGATTTATTTGCTTCGAATGACAAAAGTGAGCGCAAAAAGCAAGTGGGCGTGGCCAAGGGGGCGGAGCCTAAGTTGCCAGTGCATAAATGCGCGGGTACGAGTGTCTTCGTTGTGCAAAGAGTGGATGTGAAATTAAAAAGTTGAAAAAGTTATGAAATTTCGAAGTTCGCAACAAACCCTTTGAAGACTGGGCGGAGTCGGCCATGTGTTGAAAATCTATGTCCGCGCTGACAAGTAGGCGTGGCCGTCGAGGCGGGCTCGCAGTGGTGTCTGGCGTGATCTGGTTGGTGAACTGCCCGGTCTCGAAAGGTGGTGAATTTGATTCGAAAAGTGGTGAAATTGGTTCGAAAAGTGGTGAATTTAAAGTGATAATGGTATATACGGAGAGGAAATGCGTGCTCCCATAGATTAGAAAGGTATTTTGATAGAGGCAGAATGCAAAATAAGCATTTCCCTACAGTGTAAGGTTCAAATTGAACACAGTTAAGCATTGAGACCGAATTTCATTGATATTTGGACCATAGACACAACATGGACATATTCACTTTCATGGAGTTCATGCATACGGTACTTTCTGTTGTGGTACAGAAAAAGCTTTCCAAATAGGGGAGCAACTTGCAACTTCCTGGAACCGAAGCAAATGTTTCTTGTTTACGTCGAGCACCTGAAACCCATGGACATTTGATATCTGCCAAGCTGTTCATCGACATCTGCGACAATCCTTTGTGCCCGGGACTTTCCCCACCCCTTCTGTATTGGTAATAAAAATGGGGGTATTTCTGAAAGGGTTTCCGAAGTTACTTGCCCTCTCATTTCGTATTCCAAGGATGCGCTCAAAACCTGGGGGTCCTTATCTATTTGATTCTTGAATAAAACATCTGTTTTATGGAACATTTTGTGCGGCGATAATTTCATGCAATCGTCCAGTATGATGGCCGAAGGTGAAATAGCACTGCGCAGTGAGAGAATGCTGATTCTGGAGCGAATATTTAGGCCGAGCACAGGGCCAGTGAGTTGGTTAAAGACTTCGTTTCTCCCTTTCTTTACCTTCATCGTCATCTTCTTCTTCTTCTACTTCTTCATCTTCCCCCAGAAGTCCGTCCCGCGCCGTGGCAGAGCCGTTCTTGCTAGAAATCACTACATTTTCAACGGGTAATCTGACCAGCAGGCGGATTGTGAAGCATATATTAAACCTGAGCCCAGAGCGCCCACGGAGGAGGGAAAAACTCACCCGGGCTCGTATGCGGCGCGGTTTTGACGTCATGCGGCGGCAGGGCGGAGCGAAGGGCGATGGCCTGCGCCTACGCCCCTTTGTGTAACGACCAGCAGCCGCTTTTATGAGGAAGGAAAAAAGAGAAAAGAGGAAGAGAATATGATGGGTGCGTCTAGGTGAGTTAGTAGTAATGGTGAGAGAATACAGAAAAACTATTAGGGCGAAGTTATTCCAGTAAATGGCGGAACAGTTCCCTTCGATTACCGTTATACCGTTATAAGGTCACATCCAACTGTTGGCAGTTCGCCAAACCTCACCTTAAACGTTTGCGTAAGGAGCTGCTTGCGTCGTTTTCAATCAGAGTGAACTATTTCGCCAGTTTTGCCACTTGTTGAAGTTATTCGCCCTGATAACGACTTTTCTGCATTCTCACACCACTAGCACTAAATCACCTAAATCACCTACAACAATCCACTATTTGGGCGCTATTTGGCGACAGGGGGGGAGGGCGCTTGCACTTTAACGACTTCCCATCGACGTGTCGACCCATCTAGACAGCCTCTTCTCGAGTTGACAGGTTTTACCATGATGGCTTGACGAGCTTGCTCCAGCTTCACACAGGTTTTACCAGAGGGAGAATTGTAAACCAGAACTAGTGAAGCAACGAAAGTGCAAGATGCCCCCTGTCCGGCCCAAGTGGCCCCACTGTTGGTTCAAGCCTTTTTCTCGTCTTTTCCTTCCACATAAATAGCCGGCTGCTGATCGGGAGCTACTAGCTGCGGAGATGCGCGGTTCCATCCATCTAATATCAGCCTAATCCTACATTTTCAGAGTCACAAAAACGATGAGATCGAGCTGGCTTCTGGTCCTTCTGGTGAGTTCTGAAAAACTTTCGAAGCACTTGCAAAACCGGTGCTTTTGCAGATTTCCGCACTTCCAGCAATCGTATTGGCATGCATAGGCATTATCTGTGTGCGCAAGAAATGAAGTTTG